TTGTTTTAAGCCACCTATATTTCTTGGCTTCCTAAGACTACTTGTGATCAAAGAAGTTCTTTCTAAAACTTTAATCAGAGGTTCAATATGTAGTTAAGCAACACATTGGTGGGGAAACAAACATGAGGATAATCATATCGTTTATTGTACTAACATTCTTCAATCAAAATGGTGCTAGAGATAAGATAAATTATATGGCTGTGTGTGTCCCTGTGATTTGGTTGGTGGCAAAGGAGTGAATTGTTAGTCTAAGGCTAGCCACTGATTCCCAAAACTTTCTGTAGCAGGGATCTATTACATGATCAACTTATACAAGACCTGGAGATCTTAAATAGGATCTTCTCTGACTCATGGTTAGGTTAAATTAGATGAACACAGTAAAGTCTGTGAGAAAAATCTTTTATTGGGTTGTCAGAAAAGTCATGATGCATTTTTCTATGTTTTTCTGTGCAAAAATGCATCATGACTTCTCTGACAACCCAATAATTTGTTATTATCAAACCTTAAAAAAATTGAAAATAAAAGGTATTATGATTTTTCCAGGAGACATTTTGGTAGATAATATATTAAGACTTACTTGAACTGTGTGTTTAATTTTCATGCTTGTCCAGTGCTTATTTGAGAGTAGGATGTGACATTTTAGGTTCACTTTATGATAGTACTGGGTAAATAAGAGTTAGAGTTAAGCTTTTTAGCCTTGGATTTCTAATAGCTACTGCTGAGGTGAACCTTATATGTTAAGATTATCTGAAGATAACAGTGCAACTCATTGGCTCAAAGTTCAAAGGAGAACATTAGCTTCAAGGACATAAATCACTGAGTTGTTATCCACCAATTTGTAACAGAACCACAGATGAACAACATTTATCTAGACAATCTAGTATCAATTAACTGCAGTTAAGGGTCAGTCTGTATAGGGGCTTATGTAGGTCCTTTGAACTGTTTTGCAGAGATGAGAGTTCAAATTTTTTGTATTCTTTAATTTGAACTGACAGGTGGTTTTGTGTACCTTTTCCAGCAGCTGCTATTAACCCCATTTTGCCCATCCTGACAGCTATATCAAGGTCTGCCTCAACTGTGGATCTGTTTGAAATTAATTATGCTATATACAAACAGAATTTCACTGTCTGGCATTCCAGTATTTTCTATTTGTTCCATGGATGTTCTTTTTTTTTTTTTAAGTAGACTGAGCTTTGTGGACCCTGAGATATGTATTCTATTTTAAAACCTGTAATAGCAGGCCTACAAAGTTAGATACTTAACAGACCATCAGGTAAAGAATTCAGTTGTTAGGAAAGTCATGATGTATTTTTCTGTTTTTCTATGCAAATAGATGTCATGACATTCCCAATGACCCAATAGATGATTGTGCCAGGCTAGGTGAGACCTAGACAAAAGGGAGAATCCTGGATTAAATCAGAGTAATTCCAGCAGATTCTCACTTTATGGAAATAGAAGCTCGATATTGTCTGAACAAAATATAGCACTGGTGTTATATGGCATGTGGCCTATCAGTTTTCTACCTTTAAATGTCAACATCATGCTGAACACACAAAATGCTTTATAAAGAGTTGATTGAAAGATGCATATTGTTTTATAACACTAGCTACACTGCTTTCAAAGGACTATTGTAGATGTGTAATATGTGTAATACGATGTAAGATGTGTAAGAATGTTCTTATCTATTAAAAGATTTGCTCTTTTTAAAGAAGGTACATATACTGATAAAGAGATTAACTCTTACCCTAGAATCAACAGACTTGGATTTTGAGTCTTCACTACTGTGTCCACAGAAAGTTTGAGTTACTTTTCAAATAGTGCATTGTAATAAATGTCTGCATATTCTGAAGGCATTCAAAAGAAGAATATAGGAAATTATTGTAATACCTGCACGCCTTGCAATAAAGGTTTTTTTTTTTTAATTTCTTGAATTCTGGAGTAATCTTTCATTTTTCCTTTGCCACTTTTCCTTTTTTGTGTATGTTATAATGCAAGCATCCAAATTAATTTTGTTTACCTGACTACATAGTCTTCTGAGCTCCATAAATGTTTTTTCAAGCCTCATTGATAATGGATTAGATGATCTTCAGCTGATGGGCTGTCATGGTTTTCAGTTGTAGTAAGATTTTTTTTAAGAGAGATTTTTGCTATAGGGCGTATGCACTTTGTTGGAGAGACAGAGACAGAGAGACAGAAAGTGAGAACTCACCCCCAAAGGGGGATGGCCACACCACAGTCCCTTCTCCTCCATTCTCCCCTTGGAATTTTGCACATGCATGCACATGTGCCTAGTGAGAATTTTAAGCTTCCAGGTCCAGGACTTGAACCACAGTTGACTACATGAGAGTCTAGCCATGTAAACATTATGCTATCTGCTGGTCCCAGTTGTAGTAAGTTTTAAGATGTTTTCCTGTCACCACTTGATCTTAAATGCTTAAAACTTATACTGTTTTCCTTACTTGGAAATAAAGAAGGAACTTAGCAGATGTATACATTGAAAATAGAATCATCATTTATCATCTCTTCTATCCTTTAACTAAATGTTTGTTTAGCTTTATTCCCCATATTTGCTTTGTACTCTACCTTTTTTGCTGCTTGAGACATGGTGGAAGCATTCGACTCCTTTGCAGGTCTTTCAGTGAGGATTCTTTCATAGGTCTGAAACTGTTTTAGAGTCACTTCCTCTCTCTTGACCTTAGACTCCTTTTCTGTAAAATGGGATGATTGAATTAAATGATCTATCATGTAGCTTATGCTGTAGATATCTAAGATTCTAAGATACCTATGAATGACTTTTAATCAGTTAATATAAATTCTGTGGAGAGTATAACAGTTTTATTTATAAGAAATATGTTAAAACCCGGAGAGGTAAGGCATTTGTGGGACATGGATATGGTTTAATATTTGTTGATGAGGACTCGTGTATGTTCTCAACTGGGCTGGACTGAGGTGTGTGTCACGCTGGGTAAAGTCTCTTTACAATCTTAAATTATGTTTAGCAATTAAATGTATAAACAATAATTAAAATTAATAAATAAAAATTAAAATAAAAAGAAATACATTAAAATCATTATGCCAAGAATATATTGTCTTTATTACTTTGCCTACATATTTGGTGTTTTCTCCAGATTAGTTTCTTTCAATGGTAAAAACTTAGTTTCTATGTATTGTATTTTTTGGCATTACCACATTTATCTCCTTTATTCATTGAGGAGAATGTGCATAAATTAATATTCATTAGTTTGTTTGCATGTGAATAGAGAGGACCACCAAAAGCCAGGTGAAAATGTGAGGAGAAAACAGACATAGACACTTTTCTTATGGAAAGTCAGAGAATTAATTCTGCAGCCTAGAAAGGGAATGTTTTAGACTCTATAACTCTTTGGTACATCGTTGAGAGCCTTTTGATTGTATGCTGCACGTCCCTGTATTAAGATTGCCGAAAAGCCTTTTTTCTTATTCAACCTATTGTGTTGAATGTGTAATTATATAAACTTACCTATTAAACTTGAGTTTTAGTAACATGGTCTTACTAATTTTCCTAGGTAAAACTTTTTGTCATTGCTGTGTTTGCTGCTTGCTTTTAAAATAGCATTATGTGGAAATAAAAATGATAATAGCTAGTATTTACCAAATGTTTAATATATTTGTTTTAATGTTATTGTTTTCATATCTTTTTGAAGAAAATGCAGTTTTGGCTTTTTTTGAGAGCTTTTTTCTATAGGGCATATGTGTTTGCCAGAAAGACAGAGACAAAGAGACAGAAAGTGAGAACTCACCCCCTAGGGGCATGGCCATGTTGCAATCCCTTCTCCTCCATTTTCCTCTCAGGATCTTGGGCACGCACACACACGCCCCCAGTGTGAGTTTAAGCTGTGATCAACTACATGGGAGTCCAGCAACTTAGCCATTACGCCAAATGCTGGTCCCCAAAAAGAAGTTTTAATGATGTTATTTTATTAGGAACTATTCTAGATGCCCATGAGGGAAGTTAATTTATTATATATAGTAATTTTCTCAGAACATTAGAGAATAATTCTCTTGCTTAAAAATGGGTGACTTTTCAAGAAAGGAATTAAAAGCAGACTTATTATAACTTTTGAATTTTGAGCCATCTGAAAGTATTATTAATACTAAATTATTTGTACTGAATTATTAATAGTAAAATTGTATATTATCTTTGAATTATTTCATTTGTAATCCTGACATGTATTTGAAAAGAAAAATAAAAGTCTTGGCTCTATTAAATATTAAGTATTTGGCTCTATTAAATATTTCACATCATAGCAGTAATTTTATTCATATTTAAATATTCAGGATTGCAGAAGCAAACTGGACTGCTACTAATCATTTGAGTAGTAGTACTTTATATAAAATGGAAATGGGGTACTAGCAGATGGCATAATGTTTACATCACTGGACTCCCACCTAGACGACTGCAGTTTAAATCCTGGACCCAACAACCTAAAACTCATATTAGTTGCATGTGCATGCATGCCCAAAATCCCAAGAAGAGAATGGAGAAGGGATTGCAGCATGGCTATCTCCCCTGGGGGGTATCTTCTCACTTTTTTCCCTTCTTTCTCTCTGGAGAGCACACTCAAGCTGTGACAAAAATCTCCATTAGAAAATAAAATTGAAGTGGGAAGTAAATCTGGCATACAGTAGCAAAATTTGGGACTATATCTGTTTAAGTAGAGAATGCCCTTAGTTTGGTAAGAGGGTCATAAATGCAAAGTCTTCTTTGGAAGCTGATAAAAAATAATAGATAAAATAAAGAATGATATGCTCAATGAGCCACATTCAAATAGAGGAAATTTAATGGGAAATTATTACATTAGCGGTTGCTTCCTGAATTGCAATCTTATTGGAAATCCTACAGTAGTTTAAATTTGTCTTTCAAATTTAGTGTCTGATAGCGAGATAGATAAAGAGATTTGTATATTTTGTTGTGGTGTTGTGATTCTTACTGTGCCTTTTGGATATTTTACTTGTTCTAGGCTATTTTTATGATTCCCACAAATCCACCACCAACTTTCAGGAAGCCAGAACTTTGGTCTGATGATTTCACCGATTTTGTTAAAAAGTGCTTAGTGAAGAATCCCGAGCAGAGAGCTACTGCAACACAACTTCTACAGGTCAGTGTTTGTGCCTCTAAGGTGAAGATACTTTCTTAATGCCTGTTAGCTTTTTGATATTGGCTAGAATTGCTACGAGTTTTATAACTGATTTCCAAAGGATGTGAACCTCCCCAACAGTTACCATTCCTCTGTATCTCTCTTGATCTCAATTTTTAGCTCAATCTTCTACCATTTTTCCTTTTTTTGTTTTTTTTTTCAGTTTTGTTAACTCTTCCCATTAAAGTTGTTTTAAAACAAAATTTTCAAAGCATTCTCATTTCAGATACGAGAATGAGTTTTTAATCTCTATAGTTACTAATTCTTATGTTTTTTCCATAAGTCCCTTGATTCAGCATTTCTTCTTTGACATTTTTTCCACTGTAAGATATGCAAATATAACATCCCTGAACTCCTTTTAAACTTTATCACATGTTGTAAATACTAGTTATAGGATTACGTAAATGAAATGTTTTAGTATTCCTTTGGTAAGAAGACTTAATATCCAGAAAGTAAGATTTCTTTAAATCTATCTTGAAATGTAATATAGATAGAAATAATTTAATACTTAAAGTAAGAATTTGTGAACCTTTATTTTCCCAATGTAATATCTTTAGAACCCTCCTAAGTGTGTGTCACATTAACAAAACTTGATTTTACAAAATGATTCTTATTGATAACTGACAAGAGGATTCAAAACATGTTTATGTGACTTTTCAAGGTGCTTTTTTTTCCTTCTTTAATTGCCAGAGTTCATGCACTCACAAAAGAGAAATAGAGAGGGAAAGGGAGAAAGCATCCCCCAATAGGGAATGATCACGTTGCAGTCTTTTTCCCTCCATTTCTCCATTTTGTTGTGATTTGAGTACACATGCACATGTGCCTGGCATGTCTTTTCAAGCCACCAGGGCTGGATTCAGACTGCAGTCTGTCATGTAGAATCTGGCTCCCTTATCTACTAGGCTGGTGTTCTAAGGGATTCATTGTTTTAAACAAAGTTTATTTATTTTTTCTATGTCTGAGAGAGAGACAAAGTGTGAGAGTGTACTCCCCAAATTTCAGTGACACGATATACCTTCCAGTTTCTGCCAGCCCAGGATCATGGACACCTACATGCCTAGTGTACTCAGGAGGTCTGTGGATGTGAAATCAGAGCCTTCTCATGTAGGTCCGCCTTGAAGAGAGTTGTGTTTTACTGTTGTGTTACTGTCTGATCCCAAGGGATACTTTTTATACTGCTTAGTGGAGAAGAATGTCCTAGTGTGGCCCTCAGACTGCTGTGACATCACCTCAGTATAGAAGGTGTAGACAGCCTCACAATGGTGAAAGGCAAGACTCCCCACTCAATCTTTGCTGTTGGGGTGAGCACATGTTTTATTCTGTGGTATTTGGCTGGAGTAGAGTTATTCTCTAAAAGTTGTCTTACTAGGCTGTTTCCTGGTCCTTTGACTTAAGAGAGTGGGCTTTTGTAGAGGCTTTTTTCATTTGTGCTCAGTTTTTGGGTTGCCAGCTTCTCTAGTACCTGATCTTGGTTAAATGAGGTAAAAGAAAGCCCATGGAACTCACAGCTGTGTCCCTCCTTGGGTCTACTGTCTCGAGCTAGTCTGTTGGTTTGTTTTGTGTTAAAGAGTCTCATGTTTGTTTTAAAGCTCATGTTCAGGGTTTTAGAGGTGTTTCAGTGGGGAGGCTACTTAGTCTGTCTTGAAGCAGAACCACCTTCTACAGTTCACTTTAAACTCTCATTTTCTCTGAAGCTTTTTAGTAAAGTAAGAAATTAACTTAAACACTGTCATTTCTGAAAGCGATAGTTCATAATATGAAAAGAATTTAAGAGAATTATTTCAGGTTTCAAAAGAATAAACATTTCCTAGGCACTTATACCACTCTGCCTGGCCTTTAGGTTAGATTGGGAATTGAATCCAGGGCCTTCCATATGGTCTCAGCAGAGTAGCCACTGTAGCTAGGCCAAGCAGTCTTAATATTTAAAATACATGATCAGGAATGTGATGTGCTGGTTTGGGGGTAATAATTAGTTCTTTATGAATTGAAGTGGTTTAAAATCCTCACCTTACCCTCATCTTCTCAGATCCAGCTAGGTGGCCTAGTGATAACTGGATCCCACATGACCAACTGTGCAGTTTGAGTCTCAGACTGGTGGCTTGAAAAACATGCTGGGCACATGTGCTTGTGTGCCCAAAATGCCAAGAGGAGAGTAGGAGAGAAAGGATTACAGCGTGACCATCCTCCCTGGGGAGGAGGGGATGCTTTCTCATTTTCCCTCACTCTCTGCCTTTTTCTATCCAGCAAGTTCATGCATCCTGTAGCAAATTTTTTTTCAAAAAGGCAAAAACAGAATCCTCACTCCCTTTTATATTTTACTTTATACATATTTAAAGATTGTGAATCTTTATCATTTTTTTAGAATTGAATGTATTCATCTTTTTTCTTTATTTTTAGATTTTTTTTTTTTTTTTTTTTTTTTTTTTTTTTTAGGGAGGGGGGGCGCCCGCCGAACAAAC